GGGAGGCGCAGACGGACCGGGGGGCTGCGCCGCAGCGCCGCGCTGGACCGGGACTATCTGCACCGGCCCAGCTACTGCGACGCCGCCTTCGCTCTGGAGCAGATTTCCAAGGTGCATTTCAGACTCTCTCCTCTCCTCCCACTCTTCCCTCCTCTTCCTCTTTGGGATCGCCCCCGCCACACACACACACACACGCACACACGCACGCACGCACGCAAGCACTCACACACACCTCTCCAGGAAAAGAAGCAGACAAGTGGGGATTGAAAAATTCAAACCCTCCCTCCGGTCCTAGGAGGAAAGGGCTGTCTGAGGTCCGCAGGGGGTGGAGGGTGTGTGTATGTGTGTGTGTATGTGTGTGTGTGTGTGTGTGCACGCGCCCTCCCCGGCATGCCTTTTCCGGAGCACTGGAAAGCGGTCCACCGTGGACCACCTCTAGGGCGGCCGCAGCGCGGCAATGCCCAGTGCCCCCGGCCCCGGAGACCCCTGCTCCTGCGCCCCTGCCCCTATTTGCAACCTAAACCCCTGTAATGCTGCCACATTTCTTAACATCTTGGAGGGGGAGGCGGAGTGGAGGGAGGCGGAGAGAGGAAGGGGGGGAGGGAGCCGAAATAAAGGTGGTTTCCTTTTTTGGCAGCCTGTTTTGCTTTTGTGGAGCATGAAATCTCTGCCCCCTTAAAAATTATCCTTGGAAGAGGGCATCTCCCCTCTTCCTTTTTAGTTTTTGAGCCACTTCTTCTTAGAGCCTGGGGGGAAAGGGAAAGTTGTAAACAAATTGCCACCTTAAATCTGCGGTGCTGGTCTGCCAAGCGGCCGGGTTCATTGTGTTTACGAGGCTCGCTGAAATGTGTGGAATCCGGGGAAGGCGAGCACCCAGACGGGGGCCCGCCGGGGCAGCGGCCAGCGCCGGGGAAACGCCGCCGCCGGGAGCAGCCACAGCCCAGCCAGGACCCCCGCCTGCGCCGGCCTGGGCCCTTCCCCTGTGCACTTGGCTACTTTTTACGTTTAACCAGATGGGAAGGGAGAGGAGGGAAAGATCCATGTGGCTGCCCTCTTCCGATCACAAATATTGTCGTAAGTTGCAGATGGCTGCCCCACTTCCTAATTCAGCTCACACAGCGTCTCCCAACGCTTTGGAAATGCGTCGCGAGTGAGCTCCGGCGCCGCGCTCACCACGTGGATCCCCACTTACTACCACGCCGGGCGGGGGTCAGGATCGGGGAGCCCGCAATACATTGTTCCCAGAGCGCGCTCGTTCCCCAGCCCCCATCTTTGCCGGGGCATCCGGAGAGGGGTGAAGGATGGCGCTTGACTTGCGGGGAATCGACCCATGGTTTGCTGGTTCTTAAATGGTGGGCTCCAACACAGAGATTGCGCAGCCCCTCCCTTCCCAGCTCCGGTGTGAATACTGCCTGTGTTGAGTGATTTCTCTCCTCTCTGCCTCGGCTTCCCCTTCCCTCTGTTCTTGCAGCCCTTCTCCCCAGCGCCCCCAAGACACCTTCGGGGATGCTGCGCGGGTCGTGCGTGGGGGCGCCCCTGCTGTCGCCAAGGTGCAGCTCCCACGCTGCATCCCGACGTTGATTTATGCCCAGGCCCACGCCGCTCGCATTACCCGGGGCCGGCCTGGGATCCAGGCCCGAGGGTACCCCCCCTCCCCACGGCTGTCGCGGGATCCGCAGGCGGGTGCGCGCAAGCGGGCGTGGGCGCGCGGGCCGCGACTCCCCGGCGCTCACTCCTCCCTTCTGCTTCATCCTCAGGGGAAAGCTACTGGCCGGAAAGCGCCGCTGTGGCTGAGAGCGAAGTTTCAGAGACTCTTATTTAAACTGGGTTGTTACATTCAAAAAAACTGCGGCAAGTTCTTGGTTGTGGGCCTCCTCATATTTGGGGCCTTCGCTGTGGGATTAAAGGCAGCTAATCTCGAGACCAACGTGGAGGAGCTGTGGGTGGAAGGTAAGAGACCCAGCGCCCGCCGCGGCGCCCTCTCGTCCCCCAGCCCGGGCCCCTTTCCCTGCCTCCTTCCAACTGATAAAGATATTTGCCAGCATACACCTAGGGCCTTTCTGTGGCGAGCGAGAACCCCCTGCCCGCACCAGGGGGAATTGTTTATTGTTTGGGCGCCTGGCCGGGAGCCAGGCCCGCCCGACAAAGGCCGCGCTGTAATCTACTCGGGGCGCTGCGCTTTGCTAGGTGTTGTGGGAGAGAGTGGCGAGGGCGGGCCGGCGGGGGCGCGGGGCCCCTCCGCGGGACGGACCACTCCGCGCGGCCGGGGG